CCCCAAAACCCCAAAACCCCAAAACCCCAAAACCCCTTTTAAAATCTCCCAATAGAAAATATAAATAACATTAATGAAGATGGCAAAGATTGAGACTCTGAGTGTCCAAGGTAAGGCCAGTCACCAGCATTGGAGAATTGGGATTTAAGAGTGATCTTTGGGTATAGAGATACACAAGATGTTGCAAGAGATCATAGATAAGAAGGGAATCGGTAAGGAGGTTAGGGGGCAGGGAGTTAAAGTAGAAATTTTAAATAAGATTGTTGAAAGTTTTACAGTTTACTACTTAAAGAGGCTTCTCAAGAAGGATTCAATACTTTAGCTATCTCTAGAGCATATTTCATAGGATGCTTATATTTATCAAAAGGATTCCTTTATACTTTATTTTGAGAAACTATACTCCCAGTGCATAAACTATTTACCATTCTTTCTTCTCCAATGTAAAAATTCCTAAACTCTGCTTCCCTAGTTCACCCTCTAGTCTTTTTAGAGGCTTCTTTTTGCCTTCGGCTAGCTACCTGTTGAGAGACGACTCGAAATTCTATAAATCTCAATGTGAATCTTTTCTAAACCCATGATCCATTATCTGAAGAATTAATCTGAATTTCCTTGCTGGAAAAAGATTTGGAGAATTTTGGGAAATTTAGGAGAAAGATACGGGGTAGATCGATTATGAGGGAGCACTAAGAGGCGGGGTCTTGGGAGATTAGCATGTTTTAGGAGGAGGTTTGGCTATTTGAAGGACAATTTGGTAACATTAGGTTATCTTTGGTAGCATATAAACATCAGAAAAGGATTTAATTTAATGATTGTCTCTGTCACTATTTATCAACTTTTTTAACAGAATTTACCCCTTATCATATCCTTTGATCCTCCCACTCTTTTAAGATGAAATCTTTTCTTACTAATTCTGGCTTATCCAACAATCTTCTCCATACTCTAAGACAATCCTTTCGATAGTATTTCTTCATTAATTTTCCTCTAACACCTGTAGAACCCTCTGCCCTCTTCAATGAGGTGAACTCCTCCCAAATCCCAAAGTCTCTTGCCCGCCACGTGGCCTGGGAAAAGGAAATCAAGAACAGAGGAGTCAAACTGGGCCAACTCAAAGTAGCCAAACAGTAACCTTTAGAAATTGTACTTGGACTTCGCCAAAGACATCAACATGGAACAGAAGCAGAAACAGATTGACGAATTACAAGCAAAGATATCAAGTATTTGTATTGTCTAAAATACAGAATTGGAGAAAGAAAAACAAGAATTATGGAGTAATTTAAGAAACTTCATTAAAACAAAACTTTGATCTTAGAACAAGATATGCTCACATCTTCTTGCTATTTATTGCTGCTCATATCCATTTCTTAAATACAGTCTCTGATCATACTTCATATAGAAGAATATGCCAAAGAATATCCATCACCCGAGTCTCTCACAATCCAAATTGATGTAATCTTGATAGTTCTCTTTCTTCAACTTGGAAGCCCCCAATCTTTTGTCTTTAAATATTCTATTGCGTATAAACCCTGACTCTAATTCAATGATAGGAAGAAACTGAAGTCAAGAGCTTTGAAGAGTTCTGTAACCTCCTGTCAAATAAACACGGAGAATTGCTGGAAAAAAGTAAGCATCTTAGCTCATTTTCGCTTGTTCTGAAAAATCTGAGATTGGTCCAATTAAATTATGGAAATTCTAAAATGTGTTGAGTGATATCATTAAAAGCCAAAGATTGTTATAAGCTTAAAATAACAGTATTATTCAAATTTTTCATCAATTTAAATTTTTATTAAGAAGGACATCAAAGAAAGTAAAAATTACTAAAAAATATTTTATAATTCTCAAAGAACATTAACATAATCATATTTTAGTCTTGAATACTTTCAAAGAACAAAATAAAACCTTAAAAGAGGAAAGCCAAAATATCGACAGACTTGCAGAAGAATATTCGGCTGCAAGAGATGAACTAGACAAAGAGTCTTTATCTAGAATGGAAGCCCTCCTGCAAAGCTTAGACCAGGTAATGTCTCACTTGGCAAGGCTTTAATCAGGTAAGCAAGGGTTTACAAGGGTTATTGACATTTTGGCCAACATGCTTGCAATCAGAGTCTGTATTACTCTTTGTAGATTTAGGTACTCAAAGTCAAAGTAGAAGAGGAGACAAAGTATGATCAAAGAAAGGTAACTGGTCTACGAATCTGTCTAACCTCTGCTGTTTAAATCAAAGTCCATACACCTTTGAATAACACCTTTCATAATCTGCTTCAACCAATGTTTAGGCCTGCAGAGAACATCTCATCAGCGAAGGCTTCATCCGAGAGCCCCAAGAGGAAGCAAAGGAGTAAGTTTGTTCTGATCGAGGGTTTGTACGAGAAGTGGAATAGAGAGGATGTGGTGGGCTCAAAGTCTCAAGAAGGGAGTGAGAACAAGTGGCATAAGGAGGTTGAGCAATTGGCAGAGATGTAAGCAATTAAATCAGAAGGGATACATTTAAGAGTTCTTTCTTCTTGAGGGTCCAAAATGAAGAATTTTACTCATTTTACTGGTTTATAAATTCACTAGAGGCTTGGATTTATTCTATTATTTGTATTTACTTTAACTATTTGATCTTATACTCTCTAGGATGCTCCAAAAATTTGATGCAAGTCAAGAATATAATGAATACATCGAACATCTTGAAGAACTGAGTACCAAAGTAAGCCATATTCTTATATTATAAAGGCAAAAGTGACATTAAAAGATTTAAAGCAAGTTCTTTGAGACAAATGAAAGAGTGCTTGCAAGAATTTGTCAATAATTTCAGGAGAGTACATTTCTCTCGCTCAGGAAGTCATCGGGTTTATTATCGGAAAACAAAAGAACACTTTCGATCAAGAAGTTAACATTATTTACCAGAGCTTGCTCGAGCTATGAAGATTGGAGCAATACAAACCCTTGTACAAGGACTTTATCGAGGACATGGAAGTGAAGCTTGGGATAAAAGAAAAAGATGAGGGGGAATACCAAGACAAAGAGAAAAATAAAAACAAGAAAAGTAAAGAGAAAGATCAACATCAAGACAAAGACAAAAAGAAAGAGAAAACGAAAAAGAAAAAGAACCACAAAGAAAACATAGAAAATTCAAACCATGTTAAGGCTAGAACCCCGAGGAAACCTGTAAAGAGTTCGAGACAACAAGAGATGAGGGAGACTGATTATTTTGAGAAATTGAAAGACCGAATCATCGAGGCTTTTGAAAATATTAATCAAACTCTGTGACACAAAGAAGATAGAAAAGCTGTCAAAGAAGAATTTAGAGACATTGTTGAACTTTCAGAGAATTCAACTCTTTTCGATGAACACCACCAAGCTGTGGTAGACGAATGCGACAACAGAGGCAAACTCATCCAGTAATTGGTTCGCAACTATTCTATAGAGAATCTGCGAAAGTGGTCGAAGAAACATCACAGGTCGATAAGAAGATATACCAGGTAAGCTGTCGTTCCATATTCCAAGTGTTAGCTATGTTAAACTGTTGAGGTTTAAAGTTAAGAAACCAGCTTGGCCTAAACTATACGCAAGGGCTTGAAATCTTACCAACTGGGCTTTATTGAACTCTGAGATTCAATGATTTAGGTTGAAGACGAGAAGAACAACACACAGGAATATATTGATAAAATTGAAGAGTACAATCAGAATGCAGATAAATTCACAGGTATAGAGGGAATTTAAAAGTTTTATTCTGAGATTAAGAATAGGATAATGGTTATAAGTAAACAATAAGAAAATATAAGCTGAAAGAATGCATTTTAGAACATCTGCAAAGTTTAGATGTGAACTATATTGATTTAAATGACTTATTAACTTTATATTATGTTTGGAGTATATTGTTTTTAGGGGTGTTCTTAACAACTGCTTTCTTCGATATAAATCTAGGATTGAAATTGACACAAGCATATTCTTATATGTTGCAAAGTTTTTAAACAATCTGTAGATTTCATATTATATTTTTGTCTGAACTTTGATCTAGCCCAGAAAGAATCCTTGTCCAAATTTATTAAAGAAGAATCCAAGCCTTGTAAAAAGGAAAAAGCAAGACTTGCAGAGGCTGCTGACAGACTCACCTTCATATACCATGATACCAGAATCACCGTACGCAAGAACAATCTTATAGAAGAGGCAGTGTAAGTATTTATATTTGATTTCAGGGATGCTATTATCAATCCAGCAAATGAAAACCTCAGACATGAAGGTGGAGCTGCAAGAGCTATTGCAGACAATGCAGGAGATGAATTCCATCAAGACTGTGATGAGTATTTACAAGACAATGACTTCTTAAAACCAGGAGATGCAATGTATACCAGAGCTGGAGGCAGCCTGAAGTGTGACTATGTAATCCATACAGTTGGTCCAAGATTAGAGAAAAATAGAAAAGCTCATAAGGCAGAGTTAGAACAACTGAAGAGCTGTTTCAAGAATATTTTGAGAATAATGAAAGACAAAAATCTATATGATATTTCAATTCCAGCCATTTCAACTGGGATCTTTAACTTCCCTTTGAACAAATGTGTTCAGATTTGTGGCCAGACAATAAAGAATGCCATTAGCAACGACCCAGAAGCGTTTAAAGATAAAGAAATCATAATCTGTAACTTCGATGAATCAACCACCAGAGCATTTGAAGAAGGACTGCAAGGATGTATCTACGAAACCCCATATGGAGACAGTGACGAAGAATCAAAAACCATCACTGATTTTGAAACAACACAACATGACCTAGAAAACAGTGAAGACGATTCAGAACACAGAGAACCCAAGAAGCCAAGAGGTGTGAACTCAAAAAAAGACAACGATGAGAACGATTCCCAGATGCTAACTAGTAGATTTAACGATGAAAAATCTGAAACAAGTGATTACTAATTACTTCAACCACATTTCTTCCAGCCGGGGTTTTGGGGTTTTGGGGTTTTGGGGTTTTGGGGTTTTGGGG